GGGGCGCGGGGAGGGGTGGGGGCTTGTGGTCCCCCGTGGGCCCTGCTGTGCCCTCTGCCAGGCTGCCCCGGCCCCGGGCGGGCACCTGGGATGGCCCTGGAGCCGCTCTGTTGCCCACAGCCTTCAAGGCCGAGGGTGGACGGGTGTGGGACGGGTCAGGGTCGGGATTTACCGAGGAAAGCTGGCCTAGGTCGGGGTGATGGAGAAGTTGTCCCCCTCGGCGGCCTGCTTTGAGGCGGTCCTGTGGGAGCGGCGAGTCTGGGGTCAGCAGGCGCGCAGGGCGCACTATCAGAGCTAACCCCTGGGGAAACCGGCCATTCCTCTCACGGGGGCGCTACTGCGTCCCTTTGTGGGGGTGCGCAGCCGCGCTGTGTCTGGCGAGCCTGTGGGCATTTTCCTGAAGTAGGGCGAGGCCACCAGGGGAGGGCTCCTTCCAAGTCATCATGGGCAGGTAGCGCGAGTCTCCATGGAACTCATTCCCGGGTGTTTTAGGGAGAGATGGAAAGGGCCGCGGGTTTCTCAGCGGTGGGCCAGGCCTGTGGCTTACTCCTGCCATCCGGCCCGGGGGAGGCTGAGAGGAGAGACACGGAGGCCGGCCTCTGCTTGGGGAAAGTGAATGCGACCTTTTCTAAGCTCTCCCAGCCATGTGAGAAACAGAGCCGAGGATGGAGGTTCCAGGACTTCCCCAGACCCTGTGTCAACAGAAGAGGCTGGGTCCAGCAGCGTGCCTCTGTCCTCTTGATGTAGATGCAAGTGAGAGCTTAGGATCTAGCTGCAAACTCTTGGGTGAAAAGGCAGACCCTGTTTCCAAAACAACTGGTGATAAAGAGCTGGAGGTGTCACCCAGCGACACAGCCCCTGCCTCATGAGCACGAGGCCCTGAGTTCAAATCCCAGGTGGCCAAGGACAGTTCCAGGGAAGCGAAATTCACCAGATTTCCTCTTGCTCGCCTTTCTCTGTCTGAGCTGAAGTGCCTGCGCTCGTCCATGGGCACGGAGCCGTGGCCTCGCGGGGTTTCCTCGGTGTGGTTGACTCACCGCCCCTGCCTGCCCCACAGGTCTCCTGAGCTCGCGGGGACGGGGCGTTACCAGGAGAAAGGTTCACGTGTACAAGGCTTACCTGGCAGGACGGGCGAGGGCCGAGCTGTGGTGCGGCAGGAGGGCTGGGCGGCCACAGGGCCCCCGAGCACCGGGAGGGGGTGGACGCCGGCTCTCCCACGGGTGAGCAGCGCAGCGCACCGTGCTCGTTCACCTGAAGCCTTTGTTGCGTCCGTGTTTCCATCAGCTCGTACTCTCCAGCGTGGATTCCACTCCCCCTCCCCAGCATTCCCCGCCCCGTGGCCCCCTCCCCAGCATCCCCCCCGCGGCCCCCTCCCCAGCATCCCCCCCCGCGGCCCCCTCCCCATCTCACCCGCGTCGCTCTCCCTGACCAGCTGCCACCCTTTTGCCTCCCGCTCGCTCTGCGGAACCTGTAATTTGGAATCTTCTGATTCCATCACAAATGACCCCCTTGGTTTAAAGCCTGGATGGACGGGCCGCTGCGTCCGGTGAGGGCGGAAGGCGCCCGTGGAGTCCACGCGGGGACACAGCTCTCTGTGCTCAGTCAACCCATCTCACCTGAGAGGAGCCTTCCCTCCCAGGAGAGGACCCGAGGGCCGCTAGTACACAGGACGCCCGTGGACGCGCTGCTGTCCTCCCGGCCCCACGTGGCGGACGCCGGGAACACGAACACGAACACGAACCTGGCTGGAATTACACCATCAGCCCAACGCTTTACACAAGAGCTTAAACACCATTGGACCGGGCCTTAAACACAAGAAAAGGGGAGATGAGCACAGAAGACGGACCTTTACACTAGGTGAGATACCCCGGGGCGGAGTCTCCCACGGAGGACTGAATCCACCTCTCCCCCTCTGAGGACAGAGTTCATCTCTCCCTCCAAGACTGGAATCCGCCTCTCCCCTCCGAGGGGCAGCAGGACTGGGCATTCTCAGATTTTGCAGAATCGATTTCTTCAGAGCTGCTGGTAGTAGCTGGGGGCCACAGGACATGCCTCTCCAATTTGCGTTGATGAAAGGTCATCATGTAAGGGGTGCATTTTCATAGGAAAACAGAGAGGCTTCGGCCTGAGACTGTATTAGAGGCCAGAGCCAACCAGAGAGCCCGGCTGAGAGGCAGGTTCCTGCACAGAGGCTCCATGCGCAGGTGGACGGAGCTGGCCGCCCCTCTGCTCTCTGAAGTCAAGGGGACCACAGAGGACAGACCCTGTGCCCCCGTACCCTCCACTTGTGAGCAAATCCACACACCATGGCCTTCCTCTGGCCCTGTTGGCCAGACGCCAGACCCAGCACGCACACACACCATGCATACAGAGGCTTGCATTACGATGCTCAGCTCCAAGGCTAGATCCTGGACCCCATGCGGTTCTGGGGTGAGAGCGTCAGCAAGATCAGTACCAGTGGGTAAGACGTGGAGAGACGCAGCTCCTCTCCTCCCAGGTGTATCCTGCATGCTAATCACTCACCAGGAAGTCAGCCGAGTCTACAACGATGCTTGCTGGAGTATGATCACGAAATCTGCTCGCGCTGAAAGCCGCCTGGTTGCAGGCTGGCCGTGGTCTCATGCCCACTCTTTCACACCACCTTTGAGCCGGTTTTCTCTACAGGTTTCACACTCCAAAGCAGCACAGGGGTGGACGGGGAGATGGATGAGGTGTTGTTTGAAAAAGAAAGGCTCCCACGTATGACTGGTTATTTACCTCTGTTGCCTTTTACATGCATGTCCCATTACCAGGACTATTCCCATCATCATCAATCACCATAACCAGCGCACACCGGCTTATCCCTGCTCACACCAGCTCATGCCAGCTTATACCTGCTCATACCAACTCACCAGTTCACACGAGCTCATCAGCTCACATCAGCTCACACCAGTTCACACCAGCTCATCAGCTCACACCAGCTCACTCCAGTTCACACCAGCTCACACTAGCTCACTCCAGTTCACACCAGCTCACACTAACTCACACTAGCTCACACCAGCTTATACCAGACCATCAGCTCACATCAGCTCACCAAGCACCAGCTCATACCAGCTCACCCCAGTTCACACCAGCTCACACTAGCTCACACCAGCTCATACTAATTCATACCAGTTCACACCAGCTAATCAGCTCACATTAGCTCACCCCAGTTCACACCAGCTCACACTAGCTCACTCCAGCTCACACTAGCTCACACCAGCTCACACTAGCTCATCAGCTCACATCAGCTCACCAGCAAACCCCAGCGCACCAGCTCAGGCCAGCCCTGTGGCCAGCATGCCAGCTGCACTCCAGCAGCCCAGCCCCTCTTTACAGAGGTTGTGTTAGGGCTGAGGCCTGGTCTCTGCCATGTGGAGGAGGCCTGCCCTCAGGTTTATGTCTCCTCCTCCAGCACTGGGGTTTTGTGACTGTTTAGACTCAGTTCTGGAGACAGACTGACTCAGGGGAAACGCTGTGCGATAAAGGTCAGTGTATGGTTCTCAAATTAGCTTCCTCTCTCTCTGGCCTCCCATTTCACCCCTCAAGGCTGACAATGGTAGCATCCTCTGGACGCTTGCATGGCAGGAAAGCACCAGAGAGCATGGCTGCCATCCAGGACGGCAAAGGAGGGAAAGTGGGTAGATACCGCTCTCTCCAGCCAGCGTTACTGGCTGGGTCCCTGAGCTTCCCCAGGCCAGGCCCCCACAGAGGCCGCCGAGAGCCAACCACGGGAGTGCAGCAGTGTGCGTGGGAACTCCGCGCTGCTCCTGCCCCCCAGTCTGCCCTGCGTGCTGCTCCTGCCCCCCCCCAGTCTGCCCTGCGTGGCACCCATGTCTCCATGGAAAGCTAAAGGCCTACTGACTTGCTGCTGATTGGATGATGCTAGAAACGGATCTTTGGGGAATGACAGTGCACTTTTCTTCTTCTTTTTTTAAACCTAGTTTTGTTTTTATTTTGAAGAAGCCAAAAATCTAAAAAGAAAAAAGAATGAAGGATCCTGTGGTTTCATGAAGATGCAGAAAACGGAATTTTATGGTACATTCAAAGTGTAAAACCTGCATTACTATTGAATACAAACTGATTTTACAATAAACTTAAGTTGTGTACTATTTTTAAGCATCAACGAATAAGCATACTTGGTTTTCATAACGATGTTACTTTCTGACATGATGAAAACAAACCTGCCAATCACCATTTTGTCTCAGAACATGGGTAGTTGCTTTTGCTTTATTAAAGATAAAAGAGCTTAGTTCACAGAGAATTCCTGAGAACTTAAGAAAAGTAATCCAAGTTCTATTCTTCTATCATGATCACTATTACTCCACCAGGCTGTTCTGATTCAAGCAACCATGTAGTATGGATCTCTTAAAAATATAGCGCACAGCTAAAATCATTAAAACATGTATTTATAAGAAATATAAAAAATAATAATTCCAAAGTTTTTCTAAAATGGAATTTAATAGAGAGGGAGCGGGAGAGAGAAATCAGTGATAATCTCTTTCCAACAACTTAGGGAGTCTCTGTGTGAATCTGAGATAAACTCAGGTCTACAGTTCTTATGGATGGACAAGGGAATTCAGCTATGAAACTTGAGGGAGCGAGTAAGCGGAAAGGCTCAGGACGATTACCAGGAAGTGCTAATTGTGTCTGGGTAGACGGTGAGGGGCAGGGGATGTGTGCTGCCTGTTCGGCTGTGAGGCCCGTCACAGTGAGCACTGCATGTCCATGTGATCAGCCTGAGCCATTGTCCTGGGACCCCCCACCCCCGCCCTGTGGGGCTTGCTGGGTAATAAATTCACATGCCAAGTCAACATGGTTGGCTTGTTTCTGTCACACAGATGGTAGAATTCCATCTGACTTACGTTTGGCAGACGTACGTTTTAATGTGGGCCCATAGCTATTAAGTATTTGTTAAGCATCAAGAGCATAACAGTAGCTGGGTCGGTGGCTCCTACCTGTAAATCCCAACTTCTCTCTGGAGGCTGAGGGGGGAGGATCAGAAGCTGGAGGATGGCTTGGGCTATGGAGCAGGATTCTGTCTCAAGATAGGACCCAGAAGTGTTGGGTGTGTAGATTTGGAGAAGGCGGGTGTGAGGCCTTTGCACAGGTTCAGTCCCCAGAGCCCAAAACAAAACAAACCAACCAAAAAGATCATAAAAGCAACCTTTCCACGTGGAAGCGTTATTGCAGAGTTGCGGAGGGGCCTTACCGCTGCTGTTATTCATGTTTCTGTTTCTGTCTGCACATCTGTGTTAATGCTGGTGCCTCCTCTGAGAAGCTGCAGCCTTTCATGCTTTATGAAGGTTCCCTGCATCTGCCTGGGGAATCCTCTTCCTCCTTCTTTTTCATTTTTTCTTTTTTCTTGCTCACGGTAACAGGATTGATTCAGGCTCCTGGGTAAAGGGGAATTGTGTTAACTAGAAAGGACTTGTGTTTGGTTTGGAAATCTTCATGTTATTATCATTCCGTGGAAACAGATGTTATGTCCGGCGGTAGGTGCTGCTGACAGCTGACCTGTGGCTTCACGCTTGCCAGTATTTACCAGGAATTTTACAGTCAGGAAATCTATCCTGATTTCTCCTGTGTAAGGACATCAGAATCGCCTAATCTGTGTGGCAACTCCTGTCATCCTTGCAATACCTTCAAAGTTTGAAATTAAATCCATCTGTGCATGAAAACAAATAGGAACAACATGGTTGGTACCCATTGTGCATCAATCAAGTAGACACTGTGGTGTAGACACACGCTACTTGTAAGCAAAGCTGTTATTCTGAGGAAACCGGAGATATACTTACTGTGTGAGAAGCAAGACCAGCCCCAGCCGCCATCTGCAGAACTGGGACACCGGAAGGACACAGGACACAGGACCACACCGCGCACATGGCGGTACCACTGCGAGAGCCGGCCCCGCTACACAGCAGAGCCGCGTCTTGTTTCCTGGGGGTTTTCTGTCAGGATCACTGTTGGCTATGTAGCAGATGACCTGAGTACTCCAATCCACACTTTCTTCTCGTCACCATGATCATTGTTACAGATATTCCACGGAAACGAACCCTTTCACCAGTGACGCACACACAGCCGTTAGTGGAGCCGACGCTCTGAATACGTGTGCTGCGGGGCTGCACGCGGAAGGGCTGGACATAATTGGAGGGTGAATAAACTGGATTCCACAGTGGTAAAGAAAACCGTGCCGAAACTTTAACCCAAGCGCACTGGCCTCCGGAAGGAACCCGGAGTGCTCTGCATTTCCAGCTCATGTGATGGGACCGGGGGCTCCAGGAGCACAGGTTTATACTAGGTTGGTGTGAGTGCTGGGACTCACCTTCCTTCCTTGGAAAACCTGTGCCCCTTTGTCCATACTGTGTATCTTAATGAACGAGCATCGACTGCTGTTCATTAAAGAGATTCATGGGAAAACCGCAGCATAGATGGATAGATTGTCTGTCTAAAGTATTATATTTTAGACCCTATAGACGCTAGCTATGTCTGTATGATTAGCTCTGTCTGTCTATGTGTCTATCCTCTCCCGGCTCTGTGGCAGTGCGCATCATAAACGTCACTGCACAACAGAGTGGGCTGCAGCGATGTGTCCAGAACTCCACGGGACAGCTTCCTATGTAGCTGTCCTGCTGTCACTGTGCAGAGAGGCAAGGCAGGGTAACGTAAGCTAACCAGAGCCGGTGGGAGAGGCGAGTGGCGCCCGCCCTGGCCGGCCCTGGCCTCTTGATCGTTTCCTACTTGCTACCTGGATTGGAGGCCACCCCGTGGCTTCTGTCCCGGGTTTTAGATGCACTGCACGAGCTCCCATCTTAACGCTGCAGTTCCACAGCTCCCGCCCCGGCTGGGCTTTGGAGCGGGGAGGAGAGCCGGCCCAGCCCACTACCTCCCCTCCTCTTCCCAGTTGATAGGAGCCTGGAATTGTTTTTTTCCAGAGTGTTAGAAGATGGTGATTGTAAGCGCTCACTAAGTTCTAGTGAAGCCCTGATGAGCTGCTCCCGTCTGACGTGGCGTTCTTGGTATCGGCCCTTCTAGCGAGGGCCCCGAGCCCCTGAGCACAGCTCTGCAGTGTCACCGGCCCACTGTTGTCCATCACTCTGTCCTTCCTGGGCTGGAGGCCCTCTGTGGCTAGAAGCCCATGTGTACACCACATCGCAGCCTTTACACAAGGGGAGAGGCAGACGGGCTCGGTGGGACGCTGGGGCGGGGAGGTGAGGCTGGGGCCACCCGTCTTATGCCTGAAGACCTGGTAGAGAAGCACACTGCCGGTCCTCATCCTGTACGGGCGGGTGGGAGCAGAGGCTGCGCTCTCCTGAAAGTAAGATTGAATTAAAGTAAGATCTGTAAGCTTTGGCTCCTCAGGCGTGCTTCCTGGCTGTGGGTGAGCGTCTGGCTGCGTGTGGCAGCGTGTGGCAGGCGACGGTGAGGCCCGAGCATTGGCAGGACACCTGGCCTGGAGAAGCAGCTCCCTCAGAAGTAGAGTGATGGGTGTGTCCCGTGTGAGCACCGGGGCCGGCCTCCGCCGCTCTGAGGAGCCCGAGCCTGTCTGGCAGGCTGCCGCTGGCTGCTCACATGGTTTGAAGTTCCCAGCACATGTTTTTAAAGTCAAAGTGCAGACCGTCATCTCAGAGCCATTGCTAAGAGGTGGGGGTGGGGGTGGGGTGGCCGGCTGAGTGCTGGCCATTTTGATCATCTCCCTGGGCCCTGTCCCCCACAGGCCTGCCTCCCATCTGGACCCTCAGCACAGAGTTCAGACCTTAAGGACATTCTTCCTTAGAGACGGGTGTGCTCTGATTAGATCGTTTAACCGTGGCTGGCTTTTTAATTAAGGTATAACTGAGGAGTTACTGGAGGGAGTGTGGGTGTACCCTGTGTAATATAGGGATAAGGTGCTAAACTTGATAAAATCCATAGCCACTTACATTCTCAAGAAGGTGTTGCTAGCAAGCTGCTGCCATCAGAGAGATCCGTGGCGGAGCAGTCCTTCGTGTTCACCGCACGTCGCCCTTGTTCTGGGCAGAAGCCGTCCCCCAGATGCTGTCCGCGCCTCTGATGTGGCCTGCCTGTTCTTTGCAGCCTCCATCGCTTCCACCTGCAATGATCCCGGGACGATGCAGAACGGGACCCGCTACGGTGACAGCAGGGAGCCCGGTGACACCATCACCTTCCAGTGCGACCCTGGCTACCAGCTCCAAGGACAGGCCAAGGTCACCTGTGTGCAGCTCAACAGCCGGTTCTTCTGGCAGCCAGACCCTCCGACCTGCATAGGTATCAGCCACGCAGAGGCAGAGATTCTGTGTGTAGATGTGTGCCCATGCTGTCCCATGTGCCCCTCCTGCTGTGCTGTGTGTGGATGTGCACCCGTGCCCTCCTGCTGTGCTGTGTGTGGATGTGCGCCCGTGCCCCATTGAACTGTCCTGCTTCTGACGGCTGGGTTGGAGTTGTCTCTCAAGAGTTCCTGAAAGGTCCTTGGATGATCTGGGGCCACACAAAAATTCTATGTTAAACCTTTAAGCTTTATTTAATTATGTGAAATAAAGGAAGTAGCTTATTTAATGTACAGTAATTGACATTTATCTAGCATTTCTCATCCTTAGTAACTCTTATATAAACATGGATCAGCCAAAGTACTGCAATTTTAAATTGCAAAGGGCTCAAAATTCATATCCCTACCATTACTATTCTCATTTGCAATATGAGAAAAGGCCCCTAAGCAAAACCTCCTTACTAAAGAGCACTTTCTCTTGTGAGATGTGCTTTGCCCACAGTAGCAGCACATGCTAAATAGAATCCTGAAAGCTAGAAATTATATTGTCTCAGTGAAAATGAAGACCAAAGGAAAAGATTTTCTTCCATTTCATTAAAATTGTATTGCCTGGCCTTATTGGAAGGGTGATAGATGGTTTTGCAGCCTTTGGTTTGAATAACCATCTAAGGTGATCTACCACAAATGTGATTTTAGGGAGATACATTTTATATAAGGTAGTAATTACATGTACATTGTCTCTTCTTTCAATTAAACATTTTAATATAAAATGCCTATTTAGAGTATTTCATCTTTATTTTCAAAAGAAACTCTACTTAGCTTCATTATTTTAATGAACTATCACAGTTCAATTAGAACTTTTTCATAGTCTTTTTGAAGAATGTTAAGTTTAATTAATCTTAGCAGAGAGAGAGAGAGAGAGAATGGGATGTTAGGCCACAGTTAAGGGGTTCCTTAAGGGGTTACTTTGCATACTGTGACCTTGAAGAGATTTTTGTAGTGTAAAGGAAATTTTATTCTCCCCAGAACACCAGCGAAGAAATTCTCCATTGTCAGATCCTCCGTGTTCTAGGGAGAATTTAGGGAAATAATTATAGTCCCTTATCCTGGACTATTCACGAAGACAGATGAAATTTTGTGCTGTCGCCTGGTCAGACAGCGGCCCATGTTTGCTCCATGTGTGGGTCAGACACAGCCCATTTTTGTATCATATGTGTGGCAGACGGCAGCCTGTGTTTGCTCCATGTGTGGGGAGACAGCAGCCCATTTTTGTATCATATGTGTGGGCAGACAGCAGCCCATGTTTGCGTCATGTGTGGGCAGACAGCAGCCCGTGTTTGCATCATGTGTGGCAGACAGCAGCCCATGTTTGCATCATGTGTGGCAGACAGCAGCCTGTGTTTGCGTCATGTGTGGGGAGACAGCAGCCCGTGTTTGTGTCATGTGTGGGCAGAAAGCAGCCCGTGTTTGCATCATGTGTGGGCAGACAGCAGCCTGTGTTTGCGTCATGTGTGGGGAGAGAGCAGCCCGTGTTTGCGTCATGTGTGTCAGACAGCAGCCCGTGTTTGTGTCATGTGTGGTCAGACAGCAGCCCGTGTTTGCTTCATGTGTGGTCAGACAGCAGCCCGTGTTTGTGTCATGTGTGGCAGACAGCAGCCCGTGTTTGCGTCATGTGTGGGGAGACAGCAGTCCGTGTTTGCGTCATGTGTGGGGCCCATTTGTATTTCCTGACCTCGGTGAGTCCTGCCATGCATTTAAGTGACTGTGGAATTACCAGGAGCCTTGAAGTTGCTGCAGGTTTCTTTTCCTGGGTGGAGGCATTCCCTATAATTCAGCCTCCGTTTAACCACCAGCCTGGGTTTAATTAGAAAGGATTTGTTATTCTTTTTTGCCAGTCCTGGGCTTGAACTCAGGCCTGGACACTGTCCCTGAGCTTCTTTTGCTCAAGGCTAGTGCTCTACCCTTTTGAGCCACAGTACCACTTCCGGATTTTTCTGTGTATGTGGTACTGAGGAATCAAACCCAGGACCTCATGCATGCTAGGCAAGCACTCTACCTCTGAGCCACCTTCCCAGCCAGCCCCAGAAAGACTTTTTATTTTAACCTTGCCACTTTCACATGTTTTAACTTTGTGGAGGAACATACTCAAAAGCAACACAACTACAAGTTGGTCTCTAAGAGGCAATTCAGCTCTTAGGTTCATCTAAGATATGATCATCCCGCAAACCATTCCACACTTTTTTGTTAAAAGTATGACTTTTGGTTAAGGTGACTAGGGGTAGCCACCTAGTTTGGGCCAGCAACTATTAATTCTGTGCTAAGCAGTTTAAGTTGTTTCAAAGGCAGGCTGGAATCATCTGCTGGCAATTGAATGATCACTTATTTTAGCAATTAGACGCAGCTCACATGTAGACCTTATGGGAGAGCTGTAATTGGAACAAGTGAACAGTGTCTTTTAATTACATCATACTTCTGCTTGTTTTAGCAGTAGGGCTTCTGTCCTCTGTAAAATATCCACATAACAGGACAGAGGCTGGTCTGATGCAGCCAGCAGGCAATTCTGTGCTCAGGATTCAAGACACTGCTTAATTTCCCTTTTCCCTTTTCCTTTTTTAAAGATAATATGTGTTGATTGTAGTTATCAATAAGCCCTAGTAAGACACAAAGAGGAGAGAAAGGCTGTTACCATCAGTAGAGTCATAGAATCATAAAATTCATGATTATATAGTCACCTATTTTGAAGTGTGTTTAAGAAACACTGCCTGAATGATTATTTTACAAGCTATAGGTTTCATTTATCAGCAAATGCTTCTTTAGTGTTATGTTTCCTTCCAGTCATTTTTCATGACTGCATAGCATGTCTGCAGAAGGCAGCTCTGCTTGCTCAGAACAGCAATACCATGTGTATATATGCACATGCACACACACACACACACACACACACACACACACACAAACACACACACACCCCTCTTCAGCTGACTGCAGCTGAAGCTGCAGTTATTGACCCATGAAGTGATTTAGGCGCTGTTCCTCTGGAGAGAGGTATAACGAACTCTGTGTTGCACAAAGCACACCGAGGATCATTCACAAATTGGTAAATCCCATTTTCTACAAGCTCGCATCCCTGTGGGACATTTGTCCAAACTCACTCACGACTGTGACACTGGATTAAGGCAAGTGGGCTTCTTCCCCACAACTTAGAAACTCCGAGCCTGTGGTAGTTCTGACCTTCATAACTTAATGTGGACGCAGCGCTGAACCCTCATGATAGCTGGCATTTTAAGTTCATATATGCCCAGGCTAGGCAGCTCACTAACTTCCTTTCCCCTCCACACAGTAGCGTCTTATGCCCTGCTTGGTTTCCTCTGTGTGAGATCGCCTGACTTCCCATTTCCAGGCCCATTTCCACCTGTGGCTAATTTCTCTCTGGCTCTGCGTGGTGCCTTCCTCCCTCTCCCTGCAAGTACCCTGCAAATGGACTTCTGCACTGTCTGGACGGATGACTGCTTTCCACAGGTCAAATGACCACTGATCAATGGACCGCGCTGTTGGAGCAGGCATTCCTCCAAACCCTCTGGTCTCCGCGGTCAGGAGCCTGTAGTCATGTTTACCCAGTCCAGATTCTATAGAATCCTCTGTCTTGGGAGCCCACATTCACTTTTTCCAGCTCCAAATTCTATAGAATTCTGGACAGCAGAAACTTAGCCTGAGTTTGCTAAATTCTCTCTTCTTTCTTTTTCTTTCTTTCTTTCTTTCTTTCTTTTTTTCTTTCTTTCTTTCTTTCTCTCTCTCTTTCCTTCCTCCCTCGCTCCCTCCCTCCCTCCCTCCCTCCTTCCCTCCTTTCCTCCTTCCCTCCTTTCTTTCTTTCTTTCTTTCTTTCTTTCTTTCTTTCTTTCTTTCTTTCTTTCTTTCTTTCTTTTCTTTCTTTCTCCATGGGGCTTGAACTCTGGGCCTGAGCGCTGTCCTTCAGCTCTTCAGCTCAAGGCTGGCACTCTACCACTTGAGCCACATCGCCACATCTGGTCTTCTGGTGGCTTATTGGAGAAAAGTCTCATGGACTTTTCTGCTAGGCCTGGCTTTGACTTCGATCCTCAGGTCTCAGCCTCCTGAGTAGCTAGATGACAGGCGTGAGCCACTGGTGCCCAGCCTCTAAATTCTATTTGCTATCCCTCCTGGACCTGCAGGATGTCTGTCTAAGGACTGATTATCTCTGGAAGGGGCGAGTGCACACATGGTTTGATGCAGATGGTGAAGAGTAGAGTGCTGACACCTTGCCACAGATCATGGGGAGGCCCTGTGCCCAGGGCCAGTGGGGTGAGGATTTGGGTTTTACCTCTAGGCCCTTCCCTGTTGGTGTTTCCTGGAGCTTCTGAGCTGCCTTTTCTGCTAAATTCCAATCCTATCCAAACCATTTTGCAAGCTCTCTAGTTAAAACCTAATGGAGCTCAAAAGCGGGGCCCCAGGACTCAAGGGAATGCACACTCAGCCGGCTGTGGCACTTAGTTCCACCTCTCAGCCTTGAAACTGCTTCTTCTGCATTGGCCTCTCAGGAGAGGCCAGGATTTCTTGGGCTTCCTGTGAGTCAGTTCTTACATCACAGCCGAAGCCTGCCTGCTGGGAGCAGCCTGGGACAGAGCCCCGACCCTGTTCGTTTTCATCTTCCAAACCTGTTTGGGATGGAACCTTCTCGACTTTTGCCTCCCTCTCTCTGGGGGAGGGGCACCAGCCTCAGGGTCTGGCTGGTATCGCTTCTGAGCATGCACCTCCCAGACATGGCCAGGGCATCATTCAGACGTTGTCTTCAATCAGACTCGAGTTTGCAACAAAAATCTCCTGGCTTTAATTTTGTTTCTTCTTTTGGAAAGCAGCTCACCCATCTCTGAGCCCTGCGGTGCACAGACCTCGCAGGGCCCCGCTTTGCACGCTCTGTTTTCCACAGGGCTGTGGAGTGGGGGTGACTGCCAGCCTGGGGGATTGTTTTCCTGCTTGTGTCTGTGGAGAGTTATAGGAATGTCGCCATTTAATTGGAGTGATTGGTTAAAGCAATCCGCTACCCCTCGGAGTCCCCCATTTTAAAAACATCACCAGCGCAAGATGTGTGTCCTTATGTATTCGTGCTGTCTCACCAGCTTCCTTGTGGTAGAAGATTAAAGAGAATTTCTTATCGAGTGCATAAAGCGATACTAAACATTTTCAGATTCAAGAACAAACAGGAAGCCTATTAAAACAAGCTCTCTATTACTGCTTGCCAGCACAGAGGGCAGCGTAACTAATTCTGAATTCATCATCACCACTGTGCTTCCTTCCTACAGTGACTTCCGAGCAATCTCATCAAATTGTATTTTGGAGGTAAACTTCCCATCTCAACTTCTACTTACTACACACACACACACACACACACACACACACACACAAACATATACATATAAGTGTGTGTACATCTCTCTCTCTCTCTCTCTCTATATATATATATACATATATATGCCACTTAAATGGAGTTTGTTTTGCTACTTTGATGTGTGGGATAAACAGCTAGGCCCTACACCTCCCAGAAAGCCACAGGAAGCCTACAGTGACGTTTGTTCACTTAGCCAGCACTTCCAGAGTACTAATGATCTAGGAAATGTCAGAAATGTGTAGAATCAGAGGCAAAGCAAACAACAGATAGAGGTTATTTATTACATTGCACGAAGCTGTGTCCTAGAAAAAATAAATGGCTGTAACCTACATAAAATGGAAAAACAATTACAAAGACCATGTGGTGATGTCCAGGGATATTTTTATCTCCAAGTTGTATTTTGGGGGTGAGGGAGATGGAGGGGGTTTGGGTAAAATTTTATAGTCATAAAATTGTATTTGTCAATAGTTTGAGAATTTTTCTTATATGTAGTTTTATATATAATATATTACTATGTATTCTGTCATGTTTCATTATAATGCATTATGTTACATATTATATGTTCTGTTGTGTTCCATTATATATATATATGTGTGTGTGTGTGTGTGTGTATATACATATACATATATATGTATATATATATATATATATATATATATATGAAGAAGCATGACAGAACATTTTTCAACAAGCACATGAGAAATGTTCTGGTTTTCTGGGTCCTACAGTTTTATCTCGGTAATGGACACCACAGTGCTTTGGGTGGGAGAGGCTCGGGTTCCCCCCCCTCGCCCCTCAGCTAACCTCCCTGTTGGCTTTGCTCTCTGTAGCTGCGTGTGGAGGGAATCTCACAGGACCGGCGGGTGTCATTTTGTCCCCCAACTACCCCCAGCCCTACCCCCCTGGGAAGGAGTGCGACTGGCGGATAAAGGTGAACGCGGACTTCGTCATCGCCTTGATATTCAAAAGGTACGTGTCGTGCAGGGTCCCGCTCGGTCCCGCTGTCAGTTAGACTGGAAATGCTCACCAGAGGTGACTTCATGAAGTGCTTCAAGCCTCTCTCTACCTTTGGTCTAGGAGAGCTCTGGGCCTCGTGTCTGCGGACACGCCCTGCGTGGCAGGCACCATGGTCCGAGTGGACACTGCTGCTGTGCGCAGAAGCACTGTGCTAGCCCGTGCACACGCGCTAAGTTCAAACACGGTCTGTCCTGCTCAGAGAGACTCCTGTGGCAGAGGCTTGATCAGCAGACCGTAGAGTCGCAAACTCTGACACAAGCACGTTCCATAGTATTTCCAGTCAGCGAGCCCCGCTCCTCTCCAGCCGAGAGGCTGATGCTTCTCCACACTGAGGACGTGGGGCTCCTCTGGCTGGAGAGCTGGAATTTCACCGCGCTCAGGAAGCAAAACTCCTCCTACGGTGAGGGCCGGGGGGTGGGGTGGACATACTCCATCTAGACCCCAGTTGTGGGAGTTGCGTGCATCCTTGCCTTTGGAGATGATAAAAGCTCAAACACTGATTTGATAAGACAGATTCTGTAGTATGCCCTTATTTTTGTACAGTTCATGGAATTTAAATTTTATTGAATACCACAGTTGTATCCAGTGTGACACTTTGATTGTTGACTTGAGTAGACATGATATTTTATTATTCTTTAGACTGCCCAGGGGATTGCTCAGCTAGCCAGGGTCCCAGCGTTCAGCTGTATGTATTTAACCCCCACGGGGCCACTCCTCTCCTGTGGCCCGTGCATCTCTGCTCAGGGATGGGTGCCTCTCACGGGTCATGGTGAGCTCTGAGTGACACCTGTTCCCAGCGTCTGTAACTCTGCAGGTAAAACACAGTGACAAGCCATCACTGTCTGAGTTTACTAAAGCCGCCACCATTTTCCAAAGCAAAGGAGGCTGGCTGGCGTGTATCTTGGTATCACTGAGTCTTTGTTTAGTGCCACACTCTTACCACCGTGGTCCGTATTGTGGGGTGCGGAGGCCGGAACGAGGGAGGGCACTGGGCTGGAGCTGCCTGGGCCCGTGTGGCGCCAGCCCCTCCGTCCACAGGGACAGCTCACAAAGGCTGGTGTTGGAGGCTGGTCACAGGGGGACCCACCTGGGAGGCCCATCCAGGAGGGATGATGGATCTGGATGAGGAATGGGAGAGAATTCCAGGACTGGCAGCACGGAGGCCTCCCCGGGCTCGGGCTGGATCCTGCGGTCAGTGTGGAGGGACACCTTCACCTGCTCCTGGGCCGCTGCACTGACATGCAAGGCCTGGAAGCCCTGTCCTGTGGGCTGGCATTAGAGCTCACATGTGTGCATAGCATTGTAGGTTCAAATACCACAGGTCTTGGCGAAGAGAAGCATATTCACTATACACGTCACCCTAGCCTTCTGTGTATAAGCTACAGTTTATATGAAGAGAGATCAGACAGGTGAGTTTTTCCTGCATCTGGTAGCATTTTCAGGGTTCAATAAATAACCTATACTAATAACCAACTCTGCCAGATGCTGGGAATGGAACAGTCAAATGCAAATGACATTTTGTGAAGTATTCTAAATAAAATGATTATGCCAATAAAATTCCACTCAGTTGACACAGTTCCTACAAGCCCCCCAACTTAGTAACTGCCATCTTTCACTCCCTCATTTCTGACGTCAGAGAAGTGGCAAATGAGCAGACAAAGTCCCAGGGGCTGGGAGCCCGAGAGCTTCCTGCCTTGGCAGGGGCCCAGGGCTGCCCAGGGCCTTCAGCAGGCGGCTGGACCCCAGGAGATTGCCTGCTGCTCCTGCTTTTCCCCGGACACACCAGACAAACTAGAACCACTTAAGCAGCACATTGTGCTAATTACCAAATGACACGGCCCTTTCTGCCCCAATTATTGAAGATTTCTGCCAACAGGAAGAAAAAACCATTGCTGGCTGCCTTTGTGGCACCTTTGTGAAAGATGCAAAGACACTCACGTGAGGAGGAGAGGAGGGTGGAGGCCAGCAAGGTGACCTCAGCTCCTCCTCCTCGCTGGTCAGCAGGGCTGGACCACAGGGGGCCACTGATGGCCCTGCGGCCGTGGCAGGGGCAGGCAGTGCACGCTATCCCAGTCCTTGCCGGGGTATTAATAAAAAGCAGAGGAAGAGACCGGGGGACGCACGCATACATAGAGAAAGAGAGAGCGAAAATGGAGTGTCTGGGTGTTGTTCCCAAATGGAGTGTCTGGGTGTTGTTCCCAGACGTTACTCTTGTGGGTAATGTTATATTGGCTGATTTAGCTGAGAAACCATGAATTACAATTTCGAAGATAAAAATATATGAAGATCTTTAAAAAATTCTTTTAGGATACACAGTGATACCCACATGATATAATATATATTATATGTAATGCACACACATATATAGATAAATATAATTAAAAACACTCCCATAAAATTCAAATCTTGATGAGGATAATGTGTTGGTAGCCTCCTGCTGTGAGTCTGTCATTAGCAAACTGGTGGGTGTTACACTTACTGCCGTTACGTCTCGTCTCTTCTGAGCCGCGTCGAGGGTGGCGGGCATGCAGAACACTAGTATCCAGCACAAGGGGTGCTGCTGCATGGTGCTTGCCGCTACATTGAACTGGACTGCCTGCGTGCTGAAATTCCAACACAAAGGCCCGCCAGGCCTGATCAAGAATTCACCCCCTCCCCTCCTCTCCTTGCCCTTCAGTTTCAACATGGAGCCGAGCTACGACTTCCTGCACATCTACGAAGGTGAGGACTCCAACAGCCCCCTGATTGGGAGCTTCCAGGGCTCCCAGGCCCCGGACAGGATCGAGAGCAGCGGGAACAGCCTCCTGCTGGCCTTCCGCAGCGATGCCTCCGTGGGCCTGTCCGGCTTTGCCATTGAGTTTAAAGGTACTTGGGAGGTGTGGGGACGGGGGGGCGGGGCTCTGTGAAGCGTCCTGGGCCTGCGTCATCCAGGTCCCTGCCCTGGATCCCACGTCCCCAGGGAAAGAACCCACCGCTCCCCAGAGAAGGAATCCCAGAGTCACACGGACAGCTCTTGCCAACACGAAATTATTTTTGATTGCCTTACTGTTCATTTTTTTTAGGTTGGAGAATTTCCTCCCAAGTTGTATACTAATTTAGAAATAATCTGGAGCCTATGCATGTAGTAATTTGAGGACGTTTGTCAGCTGGTTGATGTCTTCAGAATGGCTAGGTTTAGAGTGGGCTTGGTTTTCCTCCACTCTTCCTACCACAGACAGCCCGTGCTTCCCCTCCCTCCCTCACAGCCCCCTGTGGGCCTCGAGAGCTCTGGGCTGGCAGCGCTGGCTTTGAGACCCGCCACACCTCTCGTAAGATGCAGAGAAACCAGACAATCACAAACCCACCGCAGATCCACCAAACTCAAGCATTGTGTCCTTGGGTTTGTGCATTCAAATACATTGTTCAATGTCTAATCTCCATGTGAACCACGGAAACACAAGGTATGACACGAGGAATCAGAGAAGGACATGTAACAGAGGACCCCTTCTCAGCATGTCTTTATTCACAAGGCCATGGAAATATGTGTGCTCAGTTTTGACTTCCTTTTCTAGAGAAAACTGCAAGGCAAAAAAAAAGACCTGTGTTGTGTGTGTGTTTGAAATTGGGTCTTGAGCTGTGCAGCTCTGATGACCAGCCTTGAGCCTGTGTTCCTTTCAGGACCTGAGTTCAGGCCTGGCTTTTGAGGATACATGTTATCTCTGTCACATCTTCAATAGAACCATAGTTTTATGGCTTTAAATAGATGAACTAATTTCCCCCAAAACATAAAGATGTGCAAACTTAGTGGTCTTTATCAAACTATAGAAAAATACTTAGACACTTGGGCAGCAGAGGAAGGCCCTGTGTCTTTTGCATAAGAAGTCCTTGCAAGTGCTTGGTCTATGCCACCAAAACAAACACAGCCAAGCAGCCAGCAGACAAACAACAAAAAGAAACACCTACCCAGAGGAGGAGAGGAGGAAGAGATGTAGGAGGAGGAAGAAGAGGTAGAGGAGGAGGAGGAAGAGGAGGAGGAAAGGAAGAGAGGAGGAAAGAGATGTAGGAGGAGGAGGAGGTAGAGGAGGGGCAGGAGGATCTGGAGGAGGGAGAAGACGAAGAGGAGGATGTAGAGGAGCAGGACGTAGATGAGGGAGAAGAGGAGGAGGAGGATGTAGAGGAGCAGAACGTAGATGAGGGTGAAGAGGAGGAGGAGGTCGGTTGCTGGGTCCCCAGGCACGCCGAACCAGTCAGGAGTTCAGGAAGTAAAGGACACAGACAGCGCCAGGCCAGTGGCCCCTCTGTTGGCACTCTTCAGAACAGAACATCCACCTCTGGTTTTAGAAAGGTCTCCTGTGGCATCTGTGGCCATGTGTCGAGGGAAAGAAGCACTGGAGCTCCTATTTCCAGAGCAGCTCCCACCAGGCAGCCAGGCTGGCAAGAGCGCCCCGCCGGGCACCGTGGAAGGAGAAGAGGCCCAGGGCATCTCACCCCGCAGCCAGCTCGGGCCCCACACGCAGCCTCCACGCAGCCTCCAGTGTGGGAGCACGAAGCTATCCCTAAGTGGAAAGGACAAGAACTGCAGTAAAACACACAGGTTATGAAGCCGTCTAATTAGGAGCAGGGTGAATTGCGAGCAGAAAAAGGTGCTGTGATTTATCACCAAGATCCTGCACTGACAGCCTCGTAAACAGAACGAAAAGATTAGACACAGTTGGTCTGAGGAAATCCCGGCCACCGGAATTCAGATTAGTGCCTGGAAGTAGCAGGCTGTGTACAGAGCTCCTGGCCAGAGCAGAACTCATGCTGAAAGAGACGTGGAGCAGCAGACAGCCAAAAGGCACGGGGCTGTGGATGTGGACAGACGCCGGGGGCACAGTGAGCTTGCAGTAGGAGAAATGAAGTCGGAGAGCCTGGTGCTTCACACGCCAGCTGCTCAGCAACTCTGAATGAACGCCTGCATGAAAGCAAACCGGGCACGATGAAACAGCTGTTCACAGCCTGCAGGTGTGTGTTCTGCTCTCTCTGATACTCCAGGCCACCACAACAAACCCTGGTACCATTTGCCAGGTATCGCACAGCTTTTCAAGAAAGCCAATGGAGAACACTGGTCCCACAACACCCAGCCACACTCTGCGAGACCAACATCAGGAAAATACAACTCCCGACACACCTGTGAAGAAAACACCAGCAAAATTCAACACTGACCCCTCTGTGAGACCAACACCAGCAAAATAGAATACCCGACACACTTGTGAAGAAAACACCAGCAAAATAGAATACCCGACCACACTCTGTGAGAGCAACACCAGCAAAATACAACACCGGACACACCTGTGAAGAAAACGCCAGCAAAATCCAGTTATGGAACTGGTTTGGTGTGTGTGGTGGTCAGCATTGCAGGTGATTTTCAGGGAAGCTCTCTGCTCCATGTTGATCGAGGGCCGGTAAAAGTGTCTCCGCTAACACTTTCCCGAAGGCTCTGGGGTGGCTTGCTTGCCTGGTTTTCCTCTGCTGAGCTGCCCCGTTGTGCAGAGGTGCAGTGTGAGCACCAGAGCCAGG